TTCTTCTGAATTTGCATGATGTGTTCTGATTGTTGTCCTTCATAATTAACCGTTGAAGATGATAATGTGCGATTTGTTGAAGTTTGTAGTGGAATGAAGTTGCTATAATGAAGATGATTACGGTAATAAATCTTGCAGATTCATTGATAATGAAGAAGGATGTTGCCCTGTTACCAATAACTCTCTCAGCAAAGATGATGATGCAAGTGCTGCGGAGACAGTTGCAATATTGATGAAGCATACGATGGTGATCTACGGAGAAGAATCAACTGGAAATTCAAAACCAGCTTATACCGCTTCATAAAGATGAAGATGAGATCAGAATTCGAAGAGAGTGTGAGAGAATCCAGATTGGTGAGTTTTTCTGTTATTCTGTTATGATCTGTTAGATTGATAGAAAATCAGTTAAGGCTTTTTTGTAATTCTGTTAATAGCCAAAAGCTATGACAGTTGGCCCAGTTGTATTTCTGTTATGGGATTATATGGACTGTTGGAGTGTGAAAAATTTATTTAGGGACAATTGAATCTGAGTCGCTGATTTTTGACAGTTCTGTTATGGATTGAATGGCCAGATCTATATTTGAGATTCCAGCTATTCTTTGTTATTTTTTTCTTTTTCTGCTTTCTGATATTTTCTTTTATATCTTTTCCTGATGTTCCTTCTGTTTGAATATTTCTGGTACGCTATTGACCACTGATGGAAGAGCCACAAGGCAAAATGACGGAGACGATTTTCTTTCAGAATGGAACGCGACAATGCTGTAACGATAAAGATGAGACAATGACAAGTCCCTCCTGATCGCCTCCAGCATGACCTCCGACAATTGACATTTTCTACAGTCATTAGGTATGATTAGTGTTACTTAATTTGAGAAGCCCATTAACACAGGGCAGAAGCTAGTCCAGATAGCACTGAAGCATTTTACTATAGGAACTATTCCATTGAATAAAACCCAATCAACATTATTACTAGTAGAACCTTTGTTATGGACCCGAGCTTTTGATTTCTACTAGCAATTTGTTCTTTTGATATATTTCTGTTGACTCAATTATGGTGATGTTGTTGATGATCGCTGTTTTTTTCTTGCACAGGTTTTGCAGGTGGTAAGCTTTAAGCTATTAAAGTGGTGATGAAATGTTTCCTTTAAGGCATACGTGATAGCTCGTGGCTGTTTGAAATTGCCTCTACAATGGACTCTTATGACAGATGCAAACAAATTTTGTAAGTTATGAGATCCTAGTGAGGTGCTTAATTCAGCAAGTAAACGGACGGTTTGATGTCGATTGGAACATGGGGCATTATTAAAATTAGGATGTACTTCATTAGATTTAAGTCTCTTTTTTTTTGTAACTTCGAATGAACTTGACCATATCTTGTAATTTGAACTAAGCCATGGACAAGTATGGAATTTGTACAGGTTTTGAATGTAGTTTGAACAAAAGTAGTGTATGAGATTTTGAAACTGAAAGGACTAGATAAATTTGTAAATGAGCAAACTCATTGGAATTTTGTTTGAGTATGGAATGAAGAGGTTTTGAAATGGTTAATGAAACTTTGAACTGTAACTGGATGAATAACTTTGTCGGAAATTTTTACTAGACGATTGGAACTTGAATCTTGAAATTGAAAGTGATTTCGAGCGTTGACTAATTGTTCGAAAAGTTGTATTATTTCGCCTTGGTAGCTTGAATTTCAAAAGATTAACCATGAATGGATCTTCTAATTTACACGCTTGACTAATGCACCTTAAACTTAATTGAAATCATAAGTCCAAGTTAACTTGTGAAGAAATCCACATGATCCTTCTCCCAATACTAGCATGAATCACCTCTTGACAAACACGTGCTTGGGAACCTTAACTGATCTTGAGATCATGCCTTATAATCTCTGAATTTACTCATACCTTGCATTGCAGAAAATACTTATGACACTCGCACCTTAAGAAACTTGAATGGATACTTCCCTAATTAGATCCTCAATTCCCCATGAAACTTTAACTTGCATTACAAGTAATAACAACTCGAGAGAACAATAATCCCTCAAAGAATCCTTTGAAGATGAATATGGAACTTGAGACTTGGGAGGCATAACTACCCATATAGCCTTAACATGTAAATCCAATGAGTCCCAGTTGATGAGTTAACACGCTTAATTGCCAAGCATAGGAACTACAATTTCTTGAGATGCGTTGTGATGAAAATGGCTTTGTCTCTTACCTTGAGGAAGGTATCCTTGTAGCTTGATAAGGAAGAGATCCACAATAACCATCAATCAAAATCCTAAATTCACAATTCAATGTACAAAGAAGAAGTAGAAGAATCAGTCTTGTTTGATAAACACCTTGAACCAAAAGAAAACCCGAGCTTCATAACCAATGATTCTCTGAACCATGATTCAACAAAACCTGAATTGGTTAATTGAAGAGTGGATAAGTGCCATGTCATAGTCATTAAGCCTGATCAAATGATAAGCACACTTATATGAGGAGACGTCTTGATTCAAAGACCATGTATGCTAAGTCACGCCCTTGAGTTCTTGACAAGAAAAACCTGTAACATGTTGTTTATCATAAGATAATAGCGTTGTTGCTTGAAGGAGAAGAAGTCCAAAAATGAGAATGAACCAAAACCCTAATTCCACAGCTCGCTACCTGAATAAGAAATCATCCTTTATCAGACACGAACGCCTTAACCACTGTGAAACCCTAATATCACACAACCACTGAACTTTGAACCTCAAGCACTTTGTTGAATGCAGTGCATGCTATGTTAGCGACCTAATGAAATATATGCGAATGAATGCGAAGGTCTAAGCCAAATAAAATAAATTAGGAGGGCAAAGTTTGGGGTGCAACAGCTGCGAAACCAGAAAAGTGCGAAACCAGAGATTCTGGGTTCGATCCCCAGTGAAGTCGCCAGCTGAAACAACCGGCTAACCAATCAACTGATAATGAAATCAATGAAGTCGCCATCGAGTGTTTTTTATCCCACATGAAGGGAAAGGTAAACATCGAGTAAACCTGAGAAGGGAGAAGTCACGATCTTGCGACCGAGAGATCGGGTAAGGGAGTCTGTTACGCGAGGGGAAGGTATTAGCACCCCACACGCCCGTAGTACTCTACGGTATCCACTCATGTTATCTATCTTATGGGTGTGTTTAATCAATGCTTATTGTTTACTATACTACTGAAGGGAGAATGCATGCAAAGGAATGAGAAAAGAATGTAGGGAAAATAAAATTGTGCTCGCTCGGGCCCTACCCCAATGCCTACGTATCCCTTTTAAGGAATCAGAGCAGTCGTAGTTCGGCTCACATGTTTTTGTTTGTTTATATTTTTTTAATGAACAACATTAATTTCGCCTTCTGCCGCAACTCGACCTTTGGATATTTATGCGTCAGCACAGAAGTGAATTAACATGTTCTTTCTTAAAAGAGTTTGAAAGAAATGCCCGAAGGCGCAAAAGAGTTTGCATTAGTTGATATTTTTTACCTTGAAGAAGGATTTGGAAGTTGTTAGATGTTCTAATATTTTTTCAAAGAAGAAAAAAAAAGGAAGTTTTTTTGTTTTAATGCATGGATGCAAAAGAAAGAAAAACATCTAAGGGAGACTAGTCAAAATCTATCCCTAATGTTATCATACAATGATTGATCCTAAGATTGAGTTTTGAAGGGAAATCTCTACCCTATGTTGACATGCTTGGATAACAACCCTAATGTCTATCTCAACTCATCATCTATAGATGAATCAAGAAGTCCTAAAGGAGCATAACAAGAGTCTATCACCTCAATACCTGTACATTAAGATGAAATCAAGCAGGCAAGTCAATAAGCTCAAGCGAACTAGCTCAAACGAGCAAAACTAAAGAGAATCTATCTAGGCTACTATTTACCTAAGAAATTCTAACAAAACTATCTTATAGGGAACATGCAATGAGAGCGAAGTCGTGATCTCGATTTCTAAATTGAGTGACTCATCGATCAACAAGAAATAAAGGAAAGAGATGAAATCCTATAGGGAGCATGCACTGAGAGTGAAGTCGTGATCTCAATTTCTAAATTGAGTGACTCATCGATCGAGAAGAAAGTAAACAAACACAAGCACAACACATATAGTAAATGAAGTGCAGAATGCCTGCTACAGGTCTTTAAACAGTGACTTCGAGCGCACACTCTTTATTTCCTACTTCTCATGATATCTAGAAAGCAGTAAAGTGCTGAAATGTGATAAACAAGAGGAAATACCAAACGGATATCAATCCGTAGCAAAGCCTATAGAAACAAAGAAACCCGACGATCTTCGCGAAAAGCTTCACCAATCAAAGAAAAGAATCAGAAATCAAATGCTCGGAATAAATGTCGATGCATCATCGATGTGAAAATAAATCACAATCGAAATCTCAAGCGCATTTGCATATTGCACAATAAACCTGCATAGGATTCCAGATCTCAACAAGCAAAAGTGAGCACAAGATCGAGCGAAATGAATACTAAACATAATTGACAATAGAAAATTCTAAACAAACTTTTACAAAAGAAATTCTAGAAAAAAAAAACTATTATATTCCACTATTTTTTTATTGTTTTTATTATAGCAATATTCTATCGGAACAAAAACTAACAAGTTTTATTGGCCTTTATAATTCCTTATCATGAAAAAGAAAAAAATATTAAATTCTAAATCTAACAAAAGAAAATAACAAGCTCAGGGGGTGTCATCTGCAGCTAGTGATATAATTCAGCAGTTCGGCATGTGATGCTAAGCCCAGTTTGAATGAGTCCAATAAGTTTTTTGTACAATCCTCATGCTCTCAAAAATTCACCTCGGGCCAAGAAGAGAGTCAATGACCCGGTCCACCATGGATCCAATTGTCAATAATCATGATGTAGAGTAATACGAATCAAAGAGGCAAAACTAGGGTAAAGGAAAGATTTAGGGTCGGAAATGTGCCGCATCACCTTCCTCAACCAACACGATCCTCTCTTTACTCATGGGTGAAAAATGGCGCCGCGCTTCTTTTTCCGATCCAACTCAAACTTCTTTGTCAATAATCGCTTGTCCTCTCCTCAGATCAACTCAGTTTTGTCGCCGTCCGTCTTGATTCCGCTCTTATCACCAGACTCATCTCTTCTCCGTTTCACAAGCTCTGCTTCAGTCACGATTTTGTCTCAAATTACATCTCCAACGCCATGCTTCAACGAATCCGCGATCTCGCCTTCGTCACCATCGCTCTCATCAGCGATCCACCTCTCGAGTTGTAGAAGGATCAAGACTAAAGAAGGCCAGAGAAAGCTATCTCTATAAGATGCAGAATAAATGCGAGATCAATGGAAGAACGATGATTCAGGTAACATCTCTTCTTTACAATTCTGGTTTCTCTTTGATCTTTCTAATCCTTCATGTTTTTTTTTATTTCTGCGTTTCTTCTGAATATGCATGATGTGTTTTGATTGTTGTCCTTCGTGATTAACCGTTGAAGATGATAATGTGCGATTTGTTGAAGTTTGCAGTGGAATGAAGGTGCTATGATGAAGATGATTATGGTAATAAATCTTGCAGATTCATTGATAATGAAGAAGGATGTTGCCCTGTTACCAATAACTCTCTCAGCGAAGATGATGATGCGAGTGTTGCGGAGACAGTTGCGATATTGATGAAGCATACGATGGTGATTTGTGGAAAAGAATCAGCTGGAAATTCAAAACCAGCTTCTACCGCTTGATGAAGATGAAGATGAGATCAGAATTCGAAGAGAGTGAAGAGAGAATCCAGATTGGTGAGTTTTTCTGTTATTCTGTTATGATCTGTTAGATTGATAGAAAATCAGTTAAGGCTTTTTTGTAATTCTGTTAATAGCCAAAAGCTATGACAGTTGGCCCAGTTGGATTTCTGTTATGGGATTATATGGACTGTTGGAGTGTGAAAAATTCAGTTAGGGACAATTGAATCTGAGTCGTTGATTTTTGACAGTTCTGTTATGGATTGAACGGCCAGATCTATATCTGAGATTCCAGCTATTCTTTGTTATTTTTTTCTTTTTATGCTTTCTGATATTTTCTTTTATATCTTTTCCTGATGTTCCTTCTGTTTGATTATTTCTGGTACGCTATTGACCACTGATGGAAGAGCCACAAGGCAAAATGACGGAGACGATTTTCTTTCAGAATTGAACGCGACAATGCTGTAACGAGTAAAGATGAGACAATGACAAGTCCCTCCCGATCGCCTCCAGCATGACCTCCGACAATTGACATTTTCTACAGTCATTGGGTATGATTAGTGTTACTTAATTTGAGAAGCCCATTAACACAGGGCAGAAGCTAGTCCAGATAGCACTGAAGCATTTTACTATAGGAACTATTCCATTAAATAAAACTCAATCAGCATTATTACTAGTAGAACCTTTGTTATGGACCTGAGCTTTTGATTTTTACTAGTAATTTGTTCTTTTGATATCTTTCTGTGGACTCAATTATGGTGATGTTGTTGACGATCTCTATTTTTTTCTTGCACAGGTTTTGCAGGTGGTAAGCTTTAAGCTATTAAAGTGGTGATGACATGTTTCCTTTAAGGCATACGTGATAGCTTGTGGCTGTTTGAAATTTCCTCTACAATGGACTCTTATGACAGATGCAAACAAATTTTGTAAGTTATGCGATCCTGGTGAGGTGCTTAATTCAGTAAGCAGGCGGACGGTTTGATGTCGATTGGAACATGGGGCATTATTAAAATTAGGATGGACTTCATTAGATTTAAGTCTTATTTATTTTTGTAACTTCGAATGAACTTGAACATATCTTGTAATTTGAACTAAGCCATGGACAAGTATGGAATTTGTACAGGTTTTGAATGTAGTTTGAACAAAAGTAGTGTATGAGATTTTGAAACTGAAAGGACTAGATAAATTTGTAAATGAGCAAACTCATTGGAATTTTGATTGAATATGGAATGAAGAGGTTTTAAAATGGTTAATGAAACTTTGAACTGTAATTGGTTGAAGAACGTTGCCGGAAATTTTGACTAGACGATTGGAACTTGAATCTTGAAATTGAAAGTGATTTCGAGCCTTGACTAATTGTTCGAAAAGTTGTATTATTTCGCCTTGGTAGCTTGAATTCAAAAGATTAACCATGAATGGATCTTCTAATTTACACGCTTGACTAATGCACCTTAAACTTAATTGAAATCATAAGTCCAAGTTAACTTGTGAAGAAATCCACATGATCCTTCTTCCAATACTAGCATGAATCACCTCTTGACAAACACGTGCTTGAGAACCTTAACTGATCTTGAGATCATGCCTTATAACCTCTCGCACCTTAAGAAACTTGAATGGATACTTCCCTAATCAGATCCTCAATTCCCCATGAAACTTTAACTTGCATTACAAGTAATAACAACTCGAGAGAACAATAATCCCTCGAAGAATCCTTTGAAGATGAATATGGAACTTGAGACATGGGAGGCATAACTACCCAGATAGCCTTAACATGTAAATCCAATGAGTCCCGGTTGATGAGTTAACACGCTTAATTGCCAAGCATAGGAACTACAATTTCTTGAGATGCGTTGTGATGAAAATGGCTTTGTCTCTTACCTTGAGGAAGGTATCCTTGTAGCTTGATAAGGAAGAGATCCACAATAACCATCAATCAAAATCCTAAATTCACAATTCAATGTACAAAGAAGAACCAGAAGAATCAGTCTTGTTTGATAAACACCTCGAACCAAAAGAAAACCCGAGCTTCACAACCAATGATTCTCTGAACCATGATTCAACAAAACCTGAATTGGTTAATTGAAGAGTGGATGAATGCCATGTCATAGTCATTAAGCCTGATCAAATGATAAGCACACTTATATGAGGAGACGTCTTGATTCAAAGACCATGTATGCTAAGTCACGCCCTTGAGTTCTTGACAAGAAAAACCTGTAACCTGTTGTTTATCAGAAGATAATAACCTTGTTGCTTGAAGGAGAAGAAGTCCAAAAATGAGAATGAACCAAAACCCTAATTCCACAGCTCACTGCCTGAATAAGAAATCATCCTTTATCAGACACGAACGCCTTAACCACTGTGAAACCCTAATATCGCATAACCACTGAACTTTGAACCTTAAGCACTTTGTTGAATGCAGTGCATGCTATGTTAGCGACCTAATGAAATATATGCGAATGAATGCGAAGGTCTAAGCCAAATAAAAGAAATTAGGAGGGAAAATTTTTGGGTGCAACAATATGAAAATCAGAAGTTCTAAGTGTTAAAACAGTGAGTGAACATCAAAAGTTCAGTGTGCATTAACAGTGAGGAGAACTCAGAAGTTCTGCGTGCTTAAACAGTGAGAAAATCCTAGAAGTTCTGTGTGTTAAAATGGTGAGTGAAAAACAGAAGTTCAGCATGTTATCAGCGTATGAAAATCAGAAGTTCTAAGTGTTAAAATAGTGAGTGAACATCAGAAGTTCAATGTGCATTAACAGTGAGGAGAACTCAAGTTCTGCGTGCTTAAACAGTGAGAAAATCCTAGAAGTTCTGTGTGTTAAAATGGTGAGTGAAAAACAGAAGTTGTGTTACATTTCAACTCTCAATCAGCACATCAGTAATATATTCAGTTTTCAACAAACAGCAAATCAGAAAGATAAAAAGCACAACAGTTTACAGAAGTTCAAATCCTTATCCTGAGCCTAGCCTTTAATCAAGAAGTTCTGATCCACAGTTTTTCTACTTATGCAATGATATGGACAACATTAATATTATGATATTTACATGTTAATGATGTTCAAAATGAAAAACAAGCAAAGTCAGAAAGACTTACCTTGAACCTGGAGTTTTGAGTTGCTGCCTTTGGATGTTCTGGAGTCAGCAAGAGTAACGGAAGAGAAAATGCCAAGTTCTTTGATTCAAAGGGAAGAACAAAGGTTTGGTTTTCTGTTTGGGAAATCTGGATTTTTATGAAGGGTTTCACAGGTTTCTTTTTCTCTTTTTGATAGTTCTCTCCAAAAGCCAGCCCCTTGAAAGTGTGATGGAGCAACTTATTTATAGGTGAATTTGTTGGGATTTTGGGGGGAATGACAAATGGGATTTTAAATCAATTTGGCATCATGTTCCCTTGCTTTTTCATCACTGTTTTCGTATGCTAGTTTGGTGCAATTATGGGATGCAGGCATAGTCTGAACTAGCTACTGATTAGCGGCTTTTAACCATGCTTAAGATAGAGTTGTCAGCAGGATTTAAGGAAAAGCAAAACAAAGCATGATCCTAGTACCAGAGTTTGCTATCCCAAGACAGTAGAGGTACACATGGTGGAAATCCTTTGGATAAAGACTCAAAAGTGGTTGTGAGCATTAAATGAGCATTAAATGATGATGAGACTTATCACAACCAGAAATCCTGCAACGTGAGATTCTACACCCTGGCTTAGTTTTGGATCAGAAGTTCTGCTTCAGCGTAGCATCCAACCTCTGATATTTGTATCTTCTGGCTCCAACATGTTCTGAAGGGGCTTTCATACTTTCTAGAAAGCTTGCAGCATGCTTCTTAACCTTCTTTGAATTACCCTGGAAAACTCTAACTGAAGCTTTTGTGAATACTTGCCCAGAAGTTCTGACCAAATTCTTCCTTGAGAGTGTCCAGAATTTGCTGAGTGTTATGGTGATAATCTGGTCAGAAGTTCTAAGTTTTGTCATGCTTCTTAAACACTTAGAAATATTTCTAAGTATTTAGAATTTGACTTTTCCAAAGTAAAATTTGACTTTTGAAATTCTTGATGAAACAAACTTCATATTCCAACATGTCTTGATAAAATATGATTTTTGAGATTTGATTTTGATCCAAAAGTCAAAGTTAGACTTCTCAGCGTGCAAATGACCATTTTGCTCTTATGAATTACTTGCTTGGAAAAATTGATAGTTCAAGGCCTAGAAACTTGATATAAGCAAACCTGGGATCCAGGGTGATCCGTTATGAAATGAGAGGGAAAGTTTTTGGGTGCAACAGCTGCCCCTGTTAAATCTTCTTACACTTGAAGAGTTAGATTGGTAAATCTGCCATTCGTGACTTGAAGGTGGAAGATGATTGAACACTAGAGTACCCAGAAATTTGCACTTGAAGATGCGTTAGTTGATTATGTAGGGAATGGGCTTAAAGAAGCCATTTGGATAGATAATGGATAGTTGTTGGAGAGGGGCTTAAAGATGCCATCCAGAAATGATTGTTGGTCTGTATCTGTAAGCTGGAACTGACTGATCATCAGAATGGCGTCCGTGGGATGAGTATCAGAATAATATCCATAAATGAATTATATCTG